CCATCAAATCTGGGCTCCCAAAAGGCTGGGGTGGCTGCCCAGACCTCCAGACACAGCCCAGGGCGGCTCTCTCTGCCTGTCTGCTGATGGCACTTTTCCCCCGTGCCTGGCACAGCCAGGCTGTGACCCAGGGTACAGAGCGGGATGGTGGCAGGGGGACATTTCTGGGGGTGGGGGGCACTGACCTGTGTCCAGCAGCAGCTGCACGATGTGGAAGTTGGAGTGGGAAACGCTGTAGTGCAAGGCTGTGTTGCCGTTCCCATCTGCCAGGTTCACCACGTGGGCCAGGAGAGCCGGCGAGACCTCGGCAAAGGCCAGGAGGTGGTTGGCGACCGTGTCGCGGGATGGTGGCAGGGGGACATTTCTGGGGGTGGGGGGCACTGACCTGTGTCCAGCAGCAGCTGCACGATGTGGAAGTTGGAGTGGGAAACGCTGTAGTGCAAGGCTGTGTTGCCGTTCCCATCTGCCAGGTTCACCACGTGGGCCAGGAGAGCCGGCGAGACCTCGGCAAAGGCCAGGAGGTGGTTGGCGACCGTGTCAGGGATGGACGACTTCTGGCTGGACAGACGGAACCACTCCTGTAGGACCAGGCTGCTGCTGGCGAGCTGCGGGTGGCAAGCAGGGCTGAGCTGGGGGCCATGGCTCCTCCTGAGCCTCTGCACAGCCCCACACCCCCCTCCCCACACCCCCCAGCACCCAACCTGCACCCACCCCTCTGCTGCTGGCCCCCGCAGGGAGCAGAAATCCTGCTCCAGAGGGGACTGGGTGAAGACAGGACCCTGAAACCCCAAAACCATGCTGGGATGGCCTGAGCTGAGCCCACACGGGTTTTGGGGTATCTGAGACAAAGCCTTGGAACAAAGGGCTGTGTTTGGAGGGGAAGGCGCTGAGCTGGGCTTTGCTGTCCCGTCTTTGGGGAGGGCCAGCCCCAGCGGAGGACCCTGGCAGGGGCTGGGTGAGCCATCCCACCCGCAGCACCCCACTCACCACCTCTTTGCTCTTGGTGGCACCAGGGTGGCCCAGGTGAGTCTTGACGATAAGACAGGCCTCCCGCATCCTGGGGCTCAGCTCAAACCTGGGGAGAGCATGAGCATGTCTGCGACGCAGGCCTGCATCACCCCACCAAAACTGCACCGGCAAGGAGCACCCCGAGTCCCCCCTGTGGAGGTTTTGCCCCTCTCCCTGATGCCTGCGAGCCTCCATGAGCTCCCCGTGGTGCAACATCCAGCCCGGTAGTTGCACCCTGGCAGCTTCAGCCTCTGCA